ATAGATTTCAATAATACTGGTATTACTGATGTAATAAGTTCAAGGAAAATCGACCTAACAGTAGGTCTTACATCATACCATATAGAAAAGTTTGACAGTTCTTAGATTCCTAATTAGAGTACTGAAAGTTAGGAATATTTTACAGACAAGTGCTACCTAGAGCACAAATGTTCAAGGCTAATCCTTAACCCTAAAGATAATGATGTACTAGACATCATCTAACGGCGATGAATATTCCTCGGGAGAACCCTAAGGTCTCTTATTTGATGGACCACCTCTTGAAGGTGTCGCTCATGAGCCCTTTGACGAGCTCGAAGTTCCATGACTTCTGCTTGAGAGGCAACCAGACGTTGCTGTAGGGTTTCATTGGTTCTCCGGGTCCGTTCCATGTCTTGTTCAAGACGGTGGATGCGGACTGTGTTGACACCTGAGTTGGCATCAATCTCTACGATCCAGTCGATGGCTACTCGACCTTGCTCCATTACAAGCTATTCTGCGGATAATGACGAGCGGTAGGTTGTTGACTTCAGGTTCGGATTCGGATCCATTAGAAAAGCCTTCTGCGAGGTGATCATCCAAAGGGATTGGATGCTCAACTTCGGGCTCTTCATCGATCCACCCGGCATTGCCTTCATTTGGAAAGTATGGGTCGCTGTGTTGGAATCCAGCCATTTAGATCTACGCGAGAAGAGAGGTATAAGAATATAGTATACGTGTAACTAGTAGTACAAAATACACCTATAGTATTTTAAAGTTTAAGTTCTATTAATCTTCCTGTGGTATTGTTGGTAAGTTTTTAGACTTGTTAACCTATCACAACCATTCTAGGGCATATGCTAATCACTCCTCGGACCAGCATAGTTGATCAGGCTATGCCATTCCCAAGACTGACCATACATCCCCTAGCTTACCTGTGATATTTAACAATCGCAATACTTTTGTTCTTGTCGTTGTGACACTGGTTTTAGTATGAATGCAGACTAGTATACTTAATTAACTATTTTAGTATTTAAAGTATAGACTCTTGGTCAGAGTGTTTTAATCCCAAATGGGTTTATAGTTTAGTATATCTTTTATGGGTTGATATACTTGCTTCACTATAAACAATGCTCTGATACAAATCTGTCACACCCCAAAACCAAGAATGGCGGAAACATTCTGGGGCGGAGGACATCATGTAAAGTATCACAACACAGTAAATGTAAATAAGCAAACATCATCCATTGCATTAAATATAAAATTTTAATACAAGCGTGTTCTGTACAATTTTAGACACCAAAAATATAATGTAAATCAAAATAATATGATGAGTCTTGAATGCGCTCCATCTTCTCTAAAGCTAGCATCGGTACCTGTCTACTGATGACCTGAGAATACAAGTTATTTTGAAAGCGAGTATGAGCATTAAGCTGGTGAATTCATAAGTATTTTAGTGTCAGTGTTTGTTATCAAAACGTTTGAACCTGTCGCAAGTATGAGTTGTAAATGTATATAAGTGTTTGTAAAAGTTTGAATCTCTCAGAAAAACCTATATTTTCTGTTAAAGTAGCCTTCTACCAAGGCTTAATTGTTTTGTATGCTCATTTGATGTAAAAGTGTGTAATTTCCCAAGTGTAACTATCTTTTAACAAAATATAGTTTGTACATTAAAGTTTAAGTGAGGTTATCACCAAAATGTAATGGGTAAATCATTGTAGTACTGAAATCTTGTTTTATAGGAACTACTGTTGTACTAACTACCTTAAACCGGATTTATATTAAGGTATCATGTGATAAATTGCACCATACTATCGACTGGTAACATCGACAACGTATAGTCGAAAAATAAGGTATCACGTTTGGCACCCGCAGACCTGTCGGTCCCGCTGTAGCTAGCAGCGAGGTGTTGGATAGCCAATCCAATATAGATCTATACGCAAACTCACGCTCTCCCTCCAAGAGAATCTGGCTACAACTCGGGTCATGACAATTAAGACATGCTCCCATACAGTGGATCACAATTGTTAACGTATTCGTGTATATGCAATATAATGTTACTTGTTCTAGTATCGTTGTATATGTTCTCTTAGTAATAAGTATTGACTCCTGAATGAACTGACTCGTTGATCTAGAAATTGTAGTAGTATGATCATGTGTTACCCTGATGGTAACTTACTAATGATGTGCTGATAAGTATGAATATGGAAGTACTTTTATGTCTATACATGTATATATGATATATAACTAATATTGAGACGACCCTCGGATGGTCACCCGAAATCCCACCAGACCACATCTCAGTGCGCGAAAAGGAAATAGGGATGGCCTTCCTAAGCCCTTTAAACATTACTTATATATCTATACATATATGGGCATGCAATTTGTAAGTAGTAAAACAAAGTTTAAATAAAAGCATTTGATAAGTAAAAGAGTTTGTAAAACATTTTGAAGTAAAATAGTTTGAACAGTGATAGAATCATTGGTTTCCTAGTTATTAATCACATGTGATTAATGCAATCACATGTGATCGAAGAAATAACTATAAGTGTTTAACTTGTATCCCCCCCCATAAAGTATTTAAAACATTTAAAGCATTTCAAAGGTTGAATAAAGGGGTATGAACTCACTTGGAAGTTTGAAGATAGCGAGATCGAAAACTGGGCAGAGTTTCGTCTCGGAAAACAGATTTTTCTCGGGATTCTCGGGAATCTTGGGAGTAAAATCGACTCTCGGGACTTGAACAAAAAGACCAGAGCTTCGGGTTTGAACGGGCACGGAAATCGAGGCAAGATCGTGAGAGAAAGAGAGAAAATGAACAAATTTTTCAGAAAGGCTCGCATCCCTTTTATAGGGGGCTGAACTGCCTCCGTACGCGGGGCGTACTGGCGTACGCAGCGCGTATGCGACGTCATCGCTTACGTATTTCGGATGGGGCGGGTCGGATGGGACGGCGGGTCGGGTAGCTTCGCATAGGGCGACGTGGACGATTCGAGGCTGTGGCCTCGAGTACGCAGGGCGTACGAAGGTACGCGACGCGTACTTCGGCCCTAGGCTGACTCCCCTTCGGATATTACCAACATTTTTAATAAAAATTATATATAAATTATTTATCAAACTTCAAAAATTCATATATCCTTCATACGAACTCCGTTTTCAACGTTCTTTATATCTCCGCGAAGGTGAGACTACGATCTACAACTTTCGTTTAGATTCCGTTGGCAAATTCCAAAATTATTTTTATTATTTATTTATTAAAATGACGTGATTAAGGAATTTCTTTAAAAATTCATAACTTCTTCATCTGACGTCGGTTTTTGCCAGACTTTTTACCGTTGAAATACCATTGTCGAGACCTTCGATTCTCGTTTAGGTCATTCCGGCCAAATGTCGCTCGATCTCCGATTCGAGTTTTTAGCTGTCTGTTGCTAAGCTGAACTTGGAAAAATCATAACTTCAATATACGAAGTCGGATTCGGGCGTTCTTTTTACGTACGATCATGGTTTAATGATATTTAAACATAGAAGAATTTAAATAGAAACTTTCTGGATATTTTATTATCAAACTTAATTTTATTAACTAAAAAATGTTAACAATACTTGACCTATTAGGCCATTGCAAAGAGTTGAAATATCGGGTTGGCACAAAAATGAATCTTAAAATTTTTGTATTCTTTTTTGTCTTTGAAGTTATCTACCAATTTAAACTATGGAGATGTGAAAAGTATGTGGTTGATTAGAAAGTTAAGTTGATTGAGATTAGAATTTTCAGTCTCAAAACTCTTCTTTGGTTTTTTGAGAAATTCATCATTATTCCCTTAAACAACAATTTCTATGGTTTCATAACACTAATGCTTATTTGGATCACCTTTGTACAAACCAGGTGGGCCATTCTCTATTTGTCGAAGAGTGTTGTTTATCTGCCTTTATCGTTCCATCTATGCTGCTTATAACTTCTAGTTTTCTTCTTCTGATTGTTCAATTAGAATGACCTTTCCTCCGTCTTACATATCAATTGTTGAAGTTGTTTTGACATGAGCGTTACTCGAACCTCCTTCACTCTCCTTAATCGAAATCCCTTTTTGATAGATCTTTCTGCACATTTGTTGTTCTAGTCATTGTTGTTGAAGATACAATTATTGGCTGCATTGTAATTGTAGTTGGAATATGATTCAAAATAACCCTCCTAACCACTACTCATTTATCACCACCAGAATCTCTCCCCCCCCCCCCTTGTGAAACTTATACAACACAAGGAGCACTGGTTGGTAAACAAAGTACCAAATTAAGGATTGGAGCGAGCTCAAATTTTAAGTTCGAATCAGTATTTGAAACCATCTATGAGAGTGATTCTTGAGAGATGTTTGATTGAATCAAAAGATCAACCTTTGATAAAGTTTCTTTAATTCTAGATAGGAACTCTTCCGTTTTTTCAAACATCTTTTCGTCTTTCTCAGTCTTAGCTTGAAACTGTTTAGTGTAGTCATTGTTTAACTCAACGAAATGAGTTATGGAACAAATTCAACAACTTGTAATTTTCTTCAATATTCTTGACCTCTTTCGACATCAAGGATTTTATCTCAGAAACCTTGAGAGCGAGACTACTTAATTTCATTTACAGTTTCCATGAAAAGTTCATGGCGTGCCTTAACAGCAACAGTAAGCTTTTGAATTTAATAATCTTAGCTTTTTGAATGAAAAGCTAGTCATTCTGCTTTTTTCTGATCAATACCCTCAATCAAGTTTCACAAACATGATTATTGAGCTTTCATTAAATAGTCCATTTCGACTCCAGTCGCATAATTATTTCCTCAAGTATCTATTGTAATTTGAAGAAGAGAATTAATCTTTGAGTTGAGTATCTTTAATTGCTTACCTGACATGATTAGTTCATCGGGAATATATTCTTCTTAAGGATTGAATTGAATATCGACAAATGAAACCATGATATCTTCATCATCAGCTTCGTCTCCTTGAAGTGACTTCTCAATTAATTAAGAGGAGAAAAGAGTGGTGATAGGTTCTTACATTACACCAAAAAATGTTGGTGAGATAGTCGAAATAGGAACATAAGTAGGAATGGGTGATGTTAGAGGTGGTAAAATTGTTGATGTTACAATGAAACTTGTGATAGTAGATTCGTTATTGATCATCTCTTCATCCATGTTGACATTTGATTCCTCATTGAATAAGTTCATAGTGATGTCTGGAGTTCCGACCTCCTCCTGACTAGACGCAGTATTTGAAACCATGGATGATTTGACTAAAGTATTCTTAGGGATGTTGGTTTGTTGTTGATCACCTAAATTGATGTTTGTATCCGTATCAGATACGTTTATAGTGACACTAGGAATCCTTGTCTCCTCAAAAGTCGAATTGACAGAGGTATCCTTTCGTGGTGAACCAATGAAAGAATCCTTGATTCAAATGTCTGACCTACCGCTATCACTATCATTTTTTGTCTCGACGGTCACGTTTTCAAGTGGAACACTAACTTGATCATTTTTTCTCTTCTTTAACTGTTGAGCTACATCTTCAATCCAAAACCGCAAAATACATGATTTATGTCCAAAACTAGAAAAAAGGATAATTAACCACAACTAGAAAAAATGACAATCAACCAAAACTAGAAAAGAGGGCAATTAACCAAAACAAAATGTCATGAACCATCTAGATTTTTTTACTTTCTCACATCAACTACATATCTCACCATTGTTTCTCTTGCAACGATTAATCTACCTGTTACATGATAATATTAAAAGACTATTATATAAATATAAGAACTCTAAAATAATGACAAAGTAAGTTAACAGTATATATACTTTTCTTTTGGAAAAACTAGTAGAATAATGACCCAATCTTTGACAGTAAGAGCATGTTCATTTTTTTGAAACTTTTAAAGAAAACTAGATTTTACTAGTAATTTTTGTACGCCATGTTGTGTTAGTTGGACGAAGGGGATCCAGGACAGATAATTGAGGCATCATATATACTTGTGAAATTCTCACACAAGAACTTTGAAATACTTTCTCAACCGGTATAGGTTTTTTCTGAATTGCTTGATGTTGTAAGAGCTATATCGATATGTTATTGACGTTTTCTATTTCTAAAGCGGAGTATTTTGGTTTTTCAATTACTTTATTAAAATTTTAACGGACACATTGTAACGTGTAATCACTAACTTAAAGTTCGTTATTCATTTCATCGAGTCAGAAGTTACATTTACCCACCTTGTATGTAGTATTAAGTGTCCACCGAGGTAAAATGTAATGACTCGGAAGTGTTTCAATATGCCTCTTCTTCATCACATATAGGCTATGTTTGCATAAAATCCCACATGTATCATACTTAGCCCAAGAACATCTTACATGCATCATTTTTAACAAACAAAAGCTAACAATCCGCCAATATTTTTTGTCAACATCTAGTTACCTAACTCGATGCTTAGAGTCTCATGCATTAAATTTCTTGTAGCTTCTATCAATTATTTTTTGAAAATCTCAAAAACATTTCTAGTATAACACTCACCTGCTTTTTCTTCCATTGGATGTATCGAGGAAAGAACTGCCCTAAAGTTCAAAGTCTTGAAATATTCATCTTCTTCGACGGCCCTTCGTGACACAACTGCTTTGTCATATTGTACTAAAAAAATGATTCAACATGGTACATGAGTTAACAAAATCATTAAAAAATGAATTAATACACTCACCTGATCCACTTGTTGTCATATCGACCAAAAAATATCCTTTAAGAAGGCTTTAGCCCAATATTCGTTGGTTATACATATTAGTTATACAACAATTGTTTTCGAGTTTATACTTATCACATATAACTTCCCACCTTGTTTCAAATACTTCAATTGTGTCACTCATTACCCATTCTTTATATGATTCTTAAAAAACACTATAACGGGCAACGTACGGTAGGAGGTGCTCCAATTAATGTTTTTTATATGCCATGCCAAAGTCATGTCGAGTGTTTGGAAACATTTTTTTTCATTACACATAGCTTTGTCTTGATAAGTAATAAGAGCCTTTGGATACTTGCTAAACATACATTTTAGGAAATGCTCAAACAACCATCCAAAAGTTTCTTCCTTTTTATTTTTTAGCAATGCTCCACCAAAAAGTATAGATTGTCCATGATGGTTCACCATAGTAAATGTAGCAAAAGGCATTTTGAATTTATTTGTCATATAAGTGACATCAAAAACAACAATACCTCCTAATTTAGTAAAATCGTCTCTTGATCTTCCATCAGCATAAAAAATATTTCTAGAACACCTATCACTGCACAATCCACAACATAATACTGATCATTATCCATCAATGCTTTATCTTATAAATGTTTTATTAGTCCACGTAGCTCCATTACTTTGTTATTTTTTTTTTGCTGAGATAATACATCAACGCATTGTTTTGAAGTTACATCAACTTTATTTGAGGTTTTCATTGCATAAATGGTCCTTTTAATTTGAGAAGGGATTAAGCTGCATCATGCGAGATTTACATTCTATTGTATGATGGAACTTCGCATGAGACCGATGCTTCATCACCTTCGTTGGTGTGATACTCAATTTATGATTGTGTGTGTCATCAATCAAGTCCACAAACGATTTCCCATCCCTCCTTTTTGAAATTTGAAGGCTTGCTTTGCATCCAACTCTAACTTCTCTACGATGAATTTTATCATGTCCACTTGAAGTATTACCGTCCTCCCATTTAAAACCTTCTTTGTCACATACATGTATCTTTGAGAAGGTTCATTTGTTTCCTTATATTTACATGTAGTATGAATATGTATAGCAAATCCATGTACAAATGCATAATCATTTTAAAAGGCATATCCCAAAATATTTTCATCATTAACTTCATCTTTTTCGTATTTGACGTTCACATCGATTCCGTTTATTTTTTCAGATTCATATGTTGCTTTTGACGAACCATCTACGTCAACATCTTCATTTAGTTGTGTTTCAATAGGGTGGACATCAACTTCAGTTTCATTCATTGTGTACGACACAAATAGAAAACGAAGAAGCAATTGTTACTAATCAGGCAACAATAATGACAAAAAGAAATTAGGAAAACTTCAATATACAAACTAGAACTGAATGATAAATTAAAATAACCCAAAACAATGACCAAAAAAAAATACCAAAACTTCAATATAAAAACTAGAATTAAATGGTAACATAAAACGCAATGAATGATATAAACCTAAAATGTAATTACAAGGTTAATTACGTATTCAAGTCTTTATTTATATGAATGATAAACATTAAATTGAGAGCGTCGATGATTAGTATTGGAAATTACACTATTACAGAATAAACCTATTACTTTTGAATTTAATAAAATTATTTAAATATCTTTCATTCACCCACGTCTGTATTTTCTTATGCTAGGTCAAACTCGAAAGTGAATCTCCTCGTTTGGAAAACACATCTTGGAAGACTGGCAACCAGAATCAATCTAGACAGAATTGGAGTTCCTATAAACACAATATGTGATCCTTTATGTAACAGTAAAGAAATGACAGAAGAACACCTTTTTTGGAGTCTTTAACATCTAAAGAAGTTAGAGCTATGCTTCAAAGATGGTGGGACAAAATACCCTTCATGATCAGCCCATTGGATGACCTTTTCCTAATTCATCACACTTGGACGATGACAAAAAAATGTTATATTTGGTATTTCCATGGTGCTTATTTCTTTTGCATGGACTATATGGATATACCAAAATTATAAAATATTCAACAACCCTATGAAGATCAGCCAATACTTAGCAAGTGAGACGAAAAGCGTAGCTTACAATTTTTTAAAAGTTAGGTACAAGAAAAGTACTTCTATGAATTGACAAAATTGGTGTATTTGTCCAACAAGGGAATGCTCATCATCCTTGTAACTCTAGCCTCTTGCTAGCTCTATACAATAAAAATCTCTTTTGGTCATTGAAATGTTTTAGTTGTTTTATTTTGGTTATTGTACTTTGTTTTAGTAATCATTGATCATTAAACTTATTTATTTTGTTCATTTTAGTCATTCTAACTCGGGAATAGCAGATATATAAAATCAAACGTCATTGTCAATGTCATAATTAGTTATTGAATTTTTTTTTCTAGGTGTTTTATTTTATTTATTATATTTTGTTTAATATACCGTTGGTCCCTGAATTTATTATTATTATTTTTTTCATTTTAATCACTCTAGTTTTTTTTTTTTTTTTTTTTTTTTTTTTTTATCATTTATCAAGAATAAAACCTACTATTTTTTCCTTTTCTCCACAACTAAACATGTTGCATCTATTATTAAGAGTAATTATATGAATAATCGTTGTGATTTACAGTAGGAAGCATATTTAATCCTTAACTTTTTAAAACCAGATGCTCCTAATGACTTTAAAAGAAAACTATTGTGATTTACGGTACGTTACACATTTAGTCACAAGGATTATTCAAAGAATTTACTTCAAATAATTAACTTAAGAAGTTTAGTTGTGGATAAACGCAAAAATAGTATAGTTTTTTTTTTCATAAATGATAATAAAATATAGAGTGACTAAAATGAAAAAATAAAAATAAAAAAGTTATGTGACCAATTGTAGCTTAAACAAGTTATAATAACTAAAATAAAACAAAGAGAAAAAAAAACTCAATGGCTAATTATAATATTGATAATGTTATATACCAGCTATCACCGGTTAGAGTGAGCCAAATGACAAAAAATAAACAAATTTAATGACTAATGGTAGGTTAAACAATATATATATATATATATATATATATATATATATATATATATATATATATACTGTATTATAAATGAAACATTTTTTTTCACCACATTAATTTGAAACTCTCATGCATTTTTCCTTTGACGACATTCATTTAAAACTCCTATGATTTTCAATTTATTTTTAATAATAATTACAATTTGGTTAATAAGGTTAAATAAATCAAATCTAAAGTGTAATCATATATAAACTAAATTTCAATGTTAAAATAATATATTTACTTCTACTTATAAAGTTATGTTTTTATAATTTTTAATATACTATACTTAATCTATTAGTTTTGATATATTGTTGAATGTAAACTATTATCATTTTAAAGATACAACTTTGGAACAATTAGTTTAAAATATTTATATTATTAATTTGAATATAACATTACAAAGTCAACTTAAATATAAATTTTAGTTTAACTTAAACAATCCAAAGAATATTTTGTAAATAGTTAAAAGTGATTAAGTGTAGTGTCTTTATAATAATGATTATGAGTTGGTTGATAAAGCAAAGTAAATATCAAATCTAAAGTGTAATCATAAATATACTAAATTTCAATTTTAAAATAATATCTATATTTGTACTTATAAAGTTATATCTTTAACTTTTAACATATTATACTTAATTTATTAGATTTAATATGTTGTTGTATGTAAACCATTATCAGTTTACAGCTACAACTTTTGAACAGTTTGGACAAAATACTTAAATTGTTAATTTAAATATAACATTACAATGTCAATTTAAATATAAATTTCAGTTCTACTTAAAAAATCAAAGAATATTTTGTAAATAGTTAAAAGTGATAAATTGTAGTGATAAATGCAAAAACTAAATTGTAATTTCAATTTAACTAAAATATTTCCTAAAGATATTTTTATAATCATTAAATATTTTTAAATAAGTAGCTTAAAATATTTTTCAATAAGAATAGTTAAAAATAACTCTATATAAATGATTATACTATTATCTTTAAAATCAAAAAAATAATATTTGATGTTTTAAATAATTATAATGATAGAAACTAAAACATAAAGAAAATAAATTAAAAAAAATTCATTAACAATAACAACTATAAATAACATTAAACCATATATTATATTTAATTTGATTCATGTGTAACTCGCAGGTAGAAGTTATTCAAATTATTGAGATTATACAGTTATAATAGATGTATATATATTATTATATAATTCAAAATAATCAATATATTATGTCAGTTTACTATACGAAATATTATATCAAATAACGTTATTGTTATATTTAAAAAAACACAAATAAAAACTTCAATTATATAGGTGTTTTTGCGCAACACACAGAGATTCGCTTTTATATATATATATATATATATATATATATATATATATATATATATATATATATATATATATATATATATATATATATATATATATATATATATATATATATATATATATATAGTAAGGATCTTTTCTGAACTCATACTTTCCCGCAAACTCTTCAAACTTTTTTGTGTGATTTCCTTTCTGAGATTTCCGATTCATGTGAATTAAACCAAATAAAATAAAAATACCTATAAGTTAAATAAACATTCATAACATAAAATAAACAAATGGATAAATTGTAAAGCTGGAAATATGCTTGGCAAACTCATGCACGACTAAGATAATATGTGATGCTAGCTGTTGTAAGTCATGAGTATATCAAACCAATTTTTATTCACATTCACATATGTACGTACATATATGTTGTTAATAGAAAATGTAGTCGAAATTTTCTATAAAATAATCCAAATTTGGCTCTTAATATGTATTATTATTATTATTATTATTATTATTATTATTATTATTATTATTATTATTATTATTGTTGTTGTTGTTGTTGATAAATAGTAAATTACTTGGAAAATAGTTATATGTAATAAAAAGTATTATGAATAATAGTTTACTTATATATTTATT